AGTGGTTGCTTGTCCTCTCATAAAAGTATTATTTGAAATTTCTGGTGGAAAATGTCTCTGAAGACCAAGAGTTGAGGGGGGTAATGAGAGGGTAACAGACACTGACATTGGCTCGTCCGGCCTGCATCCAGGAAACGTGGCATTCCACAATCAAACACATGCCATCTGCATTTTACCATCCTTCATGGACAACGAGGGGAATCCCTGTCTGTTTTCATGACATTCTTGAGGAGGGAGGGAGGGAGAAAGAGAGGAAATCTGTCCTCTATTCTGAAGTAAAAGAGCATCTGGCCCTCGCTGTCGAGCCGCATAGCTTCCATGACCTTCACCCTGCTATACGAGCTGCAGTAACATTGGCTGAATAGTTGTGGTAACCCAAACCCCACGCTAGTCCCTGCACTCTCATCTCTACAGTTCTCACCTGCTCTTCAGAGCCCAGGGCCAAAGCCGAGGAGAGCGCTTCCTGCTGGTAACCTAGGAATGAGGATTGTGTGTCAATGATTTACTCTGCTAAATGCCTGTGTGGGAACATTTTTCAGTTTTTAATGGACAAACGGAATGCTTGTGATAACAAGGCGTCCTTTCATGCCTCGTTGACACCCAGCATTGATGTTTGTGGTCACAGTTGGAGAATTCCTTGTAGCTTTTTGGGGTTGTTCAACAAAGTTTGAAAGTTCAGCAACATACCAACATAACGGACAGGTCATTTGTCATCTAAATGCTTGACTTGTTAAACCTTGTAAAATAAAACTTTGACCCTTTCCTCTAGTTTGTATGAAATTCTGTTTGAGAGATTCGATCAGAGATCTTATACCGCCACCTACTGGATATTAAATGTGGTGCAAGGGAATATCGGATTACTGTTTACAATACTATTTTCAGGGTCACATTAGGTAACTGCTAACCTTTATGAGATCTGAAATGATCAATTCCATCCACCTATTTTGGTTCAGTTATTTATGTGATGTATACATTTGTATTTAACCTTAAAAATATATTATATTATGTAAACTTGTTTCTGTGGCAAATGTGAACGTTCAGCATTTCGTCCATTTACAACCCTAGGATTTGTCCCTAGAATGAAATGGTCTGTTTTTACCTTATTTTGAAGGGTCATGAATAACAATATTGAGCTCTACTCTGATTGGCTGTTTCACAGTGCGGCCCGGTATTTTGCCAGTTAGTCGACGCGAGCAAAATGAAGTCGAGGATTTAAAAAAATCAAATAGTCAAAAAAAATTTGACGAATCGCAGCAGCCCTAGTTTATTTCACATTATGGCAATTGTCACTAGCATATAATCAAGCAATTTATATGAATTTTACATCTGCAGTAGCTTATCTCCAGGTTTCGGGCCCCTGAGGGCCTCTCAGCTGGAGGCCCCTGACATTGTGAGGCCGTATAATCCATACTTGATGGTCCTGACTTGATTCATAATCCATCCTTGAGGGGCATCATGCTTAACAGAGTTAAAGTCACTAGATTGATTCTAAGATCAAAATTGTGGCCGTTATGTAGTGCAGAAAATTTTCAACACGAACTGCTACTGCCATCTAGTGGTTGCTTGTCCGCTCATAAAAGTATTATTTGACATTTCTGGTGGAAAATGTCTCTGAAGACCAAGAGTTGAGGGGGTAATGAGAGGGTAACAGACACTGACATTGGCTCGTCCGGCCTGCATCCAGGAAACGTGGCATTCCACAATCAAACACATGCCATCTGCATTTTACCATCCTTCATGGACAACGAGGGGAATCCCTGTCTGTTTTCATGACATTCTTGAGGAGGGAGGGAGGGAGAAAGAGAGGAAATCTGTCCTCTATTCTGAAGTAAAAGAGCATCTGGCCCTCGCTGTCGAGCCGCATAGCTTCCATGACCTTCACCCTGCTATACGAGCTGCAGTAACATTGGCTGAATAGTTGTGGTAACCCAAACCCCACGCTAGTCCCTGCACTCTCATCTCTACAGTTCTCACCTGCTCTTCAGAGCCCAGGGCCAAAGCCGAGGAGAGCGCTTCCTGCTGGTAACCTAGGAATGAGGATTGTGTGTCAATGATTTACTCTGCTAAATGCCTGTGTGGGAACATTTTTCAGTTTTTAATGGACAAACGGAATGCTTGTGATAACAAGGCGTCCTTTCATGCCTCGTTGACACCCAGCATTGATGTTTGTGGTCACAGTTGGAGAATTCCTTGTAGCTTTTTGGGGTTGTTCAACAAAGTTTGAAAGTTCAGCAACATACCAACATAACGGACAGGTCATTTGTCATCTAAATGCTTGACTTGTTAAACCTTGTAAAATAAAACTTTGACCCTTTCCTCTAGTTTGTATGAAATTCTGTTTGAGAGATTCGATCAGAGATCTTATACCGCCACCTACTGGATATTAAATGTGGTGCAAGGGAATATCGGATTACTGTTTACAATACTATTTTCAGGGTCACATTAGGTAACTGCTAACCTTTATGAGATCTGAAATGATCAATTCCATCCACCTATTTTGGTTCAGTTATTTATGTGATGTATACATTTGTATTTAACCTTAAAAATATATTATATTATGTAAACTTGTTTCTGTGGCAAATGTGAACGTTCAGCATTTCGTCCATTTACAACCCTAGGATTTGTCCCTAGAATGAAATGGTCTGTTTTTACCTTATTTTGAAGGGTCATGAATAACAATATTGAGCTCTACTCTGATTGGCTGTTTCACAGTGCGGCTCATTTCAGTAGCTCTCACAGCATGAAGGAAACACAGGGAAAATATATACTTTCTCTCGCAGTTATATCGTTGGGTAATTATATTGTATATAAAATGTGGACATCAGGGAGCCGCTATTAATATGCGGGGCATTGAAACTGCTTTCGAATGCACGATCGCGTTTTACTTTCACTTGCGAGATTTGCGATCGCACGTGCTCTGTGTGAACTACAGCGGCAGTACTTGCCACACATTTTACAAGATCAGATGTTTGTCAGTGTTGCTGAGGAACTGTAAATCATTCACCATCATCCTCAGTCATCTCTCCTTACTCTGTTTATGTGGTAAGTGAAATCGTATGTACTGTAATGTAACAGGCTACTGCTAGCAAGCAGCTAACCATGTCCCTTCAGTGGCTGGCATAATAGAATGTGCGTTATTTGCTTTCCGTGCCTTTCTGAATACAGACACCGACCCATCCCGCACTTCACATTCCCTGCACAGCCTGGAACATAACATTTCCATGATCTGCCATTTTCACTGTTGTCCTCGCTTGTTTCGTCACAATACCTGCAGAACTTCTGATGATTCAGCTGTGCAGGACCAGCTAGCATAGAGCATGGGCGGGTATATGCAAATGTTGGGGGCGTACTTATTAGTGATCCCGACTGTACCGTCACAGTCGGTGTTATGTTCTGATTAGGGATGGGTGTATCGATACTGACGTGAGTATCGAAAGTATCGATACTCAAACAAAACAAAATAAATAAAAATAGATACTAAAGATGCGTTTTATTTACTTAACAAAAATAATAATATGCGTACAATATGCATCGAATTGGACGAATAACCTTTGTTAGCGAGTAATTGTGTAGGATAGAACTATTTTCCAGCTCATCTGAACACACGCAAATGTTGCAAGGCAGAACCAATCAAAGAGAGAGTTCACTCACTTCTAAAAGTGCATTCAAACAGGGATGCGTTTCCCAAAAGTATCATAAGCATTAAAGCTTTTGGGAACAGCAGCCCTGAACAATGCATATCAGAGGACAGAAAAAAAACAAATGTTTCTGAGTTTTCCCACAAAAAAACAAATTGAAATTGTAGCCTACATATAGTTTACATACATTGAATGTTGAAAGATAATATTGATCATGTTCCATTCTGTAATGTTAATAGAAATCATACACCGTCCGAATAAAAAGGTTGCATTTTATGCATGCAACAGCCATTCACTGGCAGTCCCTAATGGCAGTACAAAATTGCACCAAATCAATTTCAAATGTTACAAATAAGTTAGAATATTAATGTTGTAATACTGGTAGCACTAACATAATGTGATATAGGTTACAAAAAAGTAACAATTTTGAAATGAATTCTGAATACATCCATTTTACTCTTAGTAATTTAATCATTTAAAAGTTTAGTGCAGAAGTATCGAATCGGTATTGACGATACTGCCTTGAAAAATATCGGTATCATATCAAAAACAAAATAAGGGGTATCGCCCATCCCTAGTTCTGATTTGCCTATTTTTCAGTGGTCTTTTGAATGCACAAGATTTACATGAGGAAACAATGGTATTTGAGGCTCACGGTATGTTATTTCCATGTACTGAACTGTTATTATTCAACTATGCCAAGGTAAATACGGTTTTCCATTCTGCACCTTTAAACAACTTATAATACTTTTCTTTTTGAAAATTCAGCAAGGATGCATTAAATTAATTAAAACTGACAGTAAGGACGTTTAAATTGTAACACCGAAAACAATTACATTTCCAGCAACTGTTTTCAACATTGATAATGAGAAATATTACTTAAGCACCATCATATTGGAATAATACCTGAAGGTCCCTGAAGTCTGGAGTAATTGCTGCTGAAAATTCAGCTTTACCTAAATTGGTTGTGTGAACTCCTTTGTGACAATGTAAACCAGATCTATGTTTAAATTGCATTTGCAATAAATCCATCATACACCATGTCATAACCAGTCATGACCGCTACAAGGAACGAAACATTTGTCACATACTATACACCGTGAAATACCACAACAACTTACGCATTTTAGAGATGAACTATAAACAGCAAGTATCCAAAATTAGAATTCATTATTCATATACATCTCAAAATATCAGTCCAAATGAATACTCATCAACATCTTTTTAAATTACAAAAGGATCAGAGTTTTATTGAGATTAAGGCACAATACAATAATTCGATTGTATGTAATAACCTTCAGATGCTAAATTCTGATGACTTCTCTCTCTGGATAGTAGCAGGTGATGGGTCATGTAATCAAAGTCAGAGAATGCACCACATCAATTGGACTTAAATATGATGTTAGTTAAATGCCATTTCTACAGTACTGCCCCAATATATCAGTTACAGTTTAGTGTAGCGCATGTATTTTTTCCCAGAAGGCACCTCTTTGAGGGTAAAACCTGCTGGGAAAAGTTTGTTGGCTTCTTCATCTGACAAAGAAGGGATGACCATGACTTCTTGACCAGGCTTAAACAAAAAGGAAAAAAATAAAAATAAAATTTAAAAAAAAGAGAAAAAACAAATAAATTTAACTTCACTTTTTTTTCTCAGACCACATAAGAAATTAATTTATTAAAATAAAAAATAAACGCTTACATATAGTAAGGAAAGAAAGGCTGTATCTTACCTTCCAGTCCACAGGTGTGGCCACCTTCTTTGTTGCAGTCAGCTGCAGAGAGTCTATGACACGGAGGATCTCATCGAAATTGCGCCCAGTAGTGGCTGGATAGAGAATGGACAGCTTCAGCCTCTTATCTGGGCCAACAACAAACACCTGAAACATAATAAATATGGTAAGTGCAGATAGAAATAAGCACTTTTAGTTTCATAATTGGTGGCATAATGAAATAACACCACACTAATCCTATTCAGTGACCGTATAACAGTATAAACAACAGCATCAAATATTTTGATGTATTGATATAGATCTTTCGGCAGGCTCCTTAGGGTTTTCTAGTATTTCTAGTAACTTTTGTTGTTAAGGGGGTCCTATTATGCTCTTTTACAAAGTCTTGATTTCGTTTTGGGGGTATACTCGAACAGGCTCTCATATTAGGTTGTTCAAAAAAAATTATAATAAAAACCTTTCACATTTTACATTATTATTATTATTATTATTATTATTACACCTCTCTCCCCAGTCTGGCATGAACAGCTTGAATAGTTCCTGTCAAATGAAGGCCCGCCTTCTGAAATACGAAATGTGCTGTGATTGGTTAGCTGGGCCAGTGTGTGTTGTGATTGGCAGCACTCGGCACCTGGTCGGGAAATGTCACGCCCCTTACCATAGTCACCTGCGAGCTTCAGTGTAAATATTGCGTCAATATCAAATCAATTTGACCGCGATTTAAACCCGGATGATTGTAACCACTCTAAGTTCGTCTGCCTTGGGAAAGCTAGCGTGGCACCGACATAGTGAAAACACTCGCTGCCTTCTCTAGTGCAGCTCAACCAGGTCTCGTCCCATATATCGATATTTGTGATATCACAAATACCGGAAAATATGCGTTGTAGTCCAAACGAGTCGTTCATTGTAGTTTTTGAAAAGTGATTTCTGTTCAATAAAATCTCCTTTTGAAGTGGACTTGAGCATAAAAAAAAAAGATCTGCAAAGTTACAAAGTTCAAACCGCAACATTACAGACTAACTAAAGTTGAAAAAGTGAAAAAGCATAATAGGACCCCTTTAAGCTGCTAAAGCACATGTTGTAGCAAAGACTAGATTAAATCTGCGGGTACAGGGAGCAATCGAAGCATTACATGCAGCAGAACATCAACAGAAATGTAGTGAGGCGGATCAGTTTCACAATCACCTATTCAGGCATTGGTCACGACCAAGACATTAAAAGCAATGGTTCTCAAACTTTTTGACCCCAAATCCCACTTAGAAATTATTTATAAGCCGACTTGTACCTCTGGCACTTCGGTTGTCATGAACAAATAAATTCAAAAACCTGATTTTGAAAACCATATGGTTTAAAAATATTGTACAGCTTTATTTTTTAAAGATTTTAATTAGCATGTGTTAAAGGGGTATAATAATAATGCTGCTAAAAAGAACATTTTGTGTATTTGGTGTAGGCCTAATGAAATGTGTTCATGCAGTTTAAGGTTTAAAAAAAAAAAAAAACACATTTTCCACATACTGTACATTGTTTCTCCTCTATGCCCCGCCTTTCTGAAACGCATAATAATAATGCTGCTAAAAAGAACATTATTTTGTGTATTTGGTGTAGGCCTAATGAAATGTGTTCATGCAGTTTAAGGTTTAAAAAAAAACGCGTCAATTTTTACAAAGCTCATTGGTCTGAAAAGCGAGGTGTGCTCTGATTGGCCAGCTATCCAGTGCGTTGTGATTGGCCGAATACCTCAAGCGTGTGACGGAAATGTTACGCCCCTTACCATACTGTGATGCCGTGTCCGGCCGGAGCGACGAGACAAAACATTAAAACTCATTATAAACGAGGCATTTGTTGCATCCAGTGGGGACATAATTACTGATTATGACTTATACGGTCTTTTTACGCGTTGCCTCACGCTGCGTAAACATAAAACCCATGTCTGCATTTGTGATCAGAGAAATTACAAACAAGTGCTACTCTACACTGCTCAAAACTCGCGTTTGAATCGTCAGTGGCAAATTCTTTAAATATATATAAAAAAAACGTACTTGGTCTGTGAGTCAGAACAGCCGGCATTGTAGTCTACTCTCCGAGGATCAGGAAACAGTCCTCCATAAAATG